CTCTCTCTCTCTATATATATATATATATATATATATATATATAAATGTGTGCGGTTGTATGTCATGTTTTTTTACATTTATAAAATAAATACATATTTAGGTAAATATATTTGATGCTATGTGTGATACTCATATAGCTATGTACAGTAACTTTGCATTGCAAGAACACCTTATTGTAGACTATTTAAAAAACTGTAGCTGACTTGAGCAAAAGAAATATACTTAACAGTCATCATTCTAAGCAGGTTAGCAGTCATAGTCCTTTTCAACATAAAATTGTTCGTTAGTCAAACATATTTAATAAACCTAATAAATAAAGATAAAAACATAACACAGTAACACTAATTATAGTACAATTAGAAAATAAATATGGATCTTCAACTATAACAAAATATTACAAGAGAGTGTGGTATTATCAGTCAAATTATTTTTGTTGATTAATTGAATATATGCTTTGATGTAGGTGCAGTGTAGAGTTACACCAGAGCTCCTTTTTCAGCATTAAAATTATTAGTGATAGTGTAAACTTTATGTTTCATACTAATTCTACTATAACACTTCAATTATGTCAGTACATTTTATTAAAGCAATGTAGCAGCTAAACCTATACCCCATGTGCTCCATCATAATGGTCTGCTCCAATGCACAGAAGGAATTGTTATGTATACCATTTTGGTGGTGGTTATTTTTAATACAAAAACTTTTTGTTTCAGTAATAGGTATTATTACAAATCAAAAGATCAAATTCCCATGTGATTGACATTTAATGTGTGATTAATATTCAAACATTGCCAAATGGTTTCTGTTGATGAGAAAAACAAAATCTTCAAGTGTTTAAAACTGTCTTAGAATTCTTGGCTGGAGAAGGAACCTTCAAACACAGCCTTACAGAGAATTAAAAATATAACTTGCTCTTTCTTGATATGGAGAAAATAATCAAGTACAACAGAAAGCTAGAGGATGAGATATCAATGCTGTTACTTTGTTTCCAAAACACAACATTTATTTTCACAGAGGCAGTTAATACTAGACTGTGTACAAAGTTTGTTTGAATCAAATCAAATGTCTGTTTTAAATAAAATAATTCATTATCTGATTAATGTTATCTTGAATTGTTATACTAGGTTAAGAAATAGTCATTTGGCTAGTTTATGTGCATCATAACTAGGTTTTTTTTGGCTTATGAAAAATGTTAATTTCAATACAGGTTCTGTGTTAATGTGATTTGATGCCCACACTTAATAGTATGACTCAAAACTGTAGGAAGCCATGGGCCATGAAGGTGCCAAGCCACAGCGTGTTCATTACCTCCGAAGTGGTATGATTCTTACAACAGGGTTTTCTAAGATGAGTGAACGACAGTATTCTCTAAGGAAGGAGGTGGGTAAAAATGATTAGTTATTAACCTAACTATCCATGGTTCATCAGTGCTTGGTATCTTTGTGAAGAATAAAATAAGACATTTCAAAAACTTTCAAACAAATTTAAATTTGTTTAAAAGGGCTGTATTGTTAAATAGCTATCAAACTACTTTTTGAGTGTTGTTAGCAATTATGAAATGTTTTCAATGTGGTTGATTAATCAAATACATTATTTCTTCAATATTGTATATAATTTTTTTTTCAAGATATTTTTGGCAAGTGTGTAATGTTCAGTTTCGAAAACTAAAAAGTTTTATTTAAAAACAATGATTATTTTATACACAATTCAATAAAATGAGATTGTTTCCAATCTCCAAATTATTAAAATAATAACTTACTGTACAAGGTTAAAAAGTGGTAAAATCCCCAACATGACTGGAAAACAATCTCATACACTACATATTTCGACGTATATCTTGTGTCATCCTCAAGAGTGTTATTTTGCAAAACATTTTATTTTGTTTATTTTTTTGATGTTTAGACCTAATTATACCAACACTGATTTCCTAATAAACTAGAAATACTACTGCTTGGTGTAATATACTTATTACAATTATACATTAGAAGTTCTTGAAAAGTTCCAAATCAAACAGCTTAAATAGTACAATGTAAGTAATCAAAATATGGCACAGTATAAAAATGTAAAAAGTGTGTTTATTTTTTGTTGTTTCACATAAACAAATTGTTACTAAACTTCTTGTTTTAAGCTGTAATGGTGTCCAGTCAATAAAAATTGAAGTTGTTTCAGAATGAATTGGCCAATCCTCTTTGCTTGGAAGAACTGGATGTAAGTAATGGAGTAATGGTACCGTTTTATGATCCAGATGTGAACCTTCTCTATCTTTCTGCTAAAGTAAGTGGTTGCTAATTACATTAACATAATGAGATTATTTTATTAACACAACATGGGTCTTGTATGGTAATTGTGACCTGTTAAACCTGTATTTAATTAAATGAACACTGAAATATTTTGACTGAATCTTTTTTTTACAAGAATGAAAAAACTGTTACAATAAATTAGTACACTCTTTACTTATGAATGGGAATTTCACTTCATTTTTTAATGTGACTTATTGAAGTACACCAAATGTTTAGATAGTTTGGTTTGCTAGTGGGAGGTTTATACATTTAGAATTACTCTTATTTAAACAGTGAAGAATTATGCACTGCTTCATTAAATTTTAAATGAAGAAGCCGATAAGTGTAAAGAATTTCGGAACCTAGATTTGAACCCAGGATCTCTGACTAACAAGGCAAATGCTCTACCAGCTAAGCTATCGAAGAGTAGAGCTATCCCCATTAGTTTTCACCTATAAGGCTTATTAGTAGAGTATGATCACCACATCATATTATGATCAGGCAATTAGTGGGTTGATTTAACCACTCAAAAGACAAACAAATGATACAATGTCTATTGCAGACTTGCACTTAATTTTAAATTATTTTAGGGATCACTGAAAGGACAATTTTAACATTAAATTTTACTTGATTGTTTGTTTGTAGTTAAGTTCTAAGTCCGCAGACATACAGCTGTGCCACTGGGGGCCAAATTTTATGGGAAAAAAGCCAATAAATGATAACTATAATCACTATTATTGACCATACTTTTGTTAAAATACAGCCAAATCTGCAACACTTGTTAAATACATCTAGATTAATATTTTCTTTAGCATTTTTAGAAAAAAATTTAATTTTTTTATGTTATTGAAGTATACTTTCACATCTTTCTTTATGATTTATTTTTTAAATAATTTTCTCAAATGGATTAACTATTGAACAGTGTGTTAATGATATTGATACTTCTTGATTTGTTTCTTTGAAATCACTATACCAACTGGTTTGTAGTTTTTTTTTTTTCATAAATTGGGAATAATTTTTGTTGCCCAGTAAACACGAAGGTGCTTTAAGTTACAAAAATAATATAAGCACAGGTTAGCAGCTCAGTTGTAAATAGGAGTGGGCAACATTAGTATTGGGTTTACTTATTTAAAAGCTAGAGCTAAGAATCTTTATTCTAGTATCATTCTATGTTAACTAAGATAATATATACAAAAAAACTAGCCTAACATTGTTTTATAGTAACCATTGTTTTGACACATTTCTGTAGGGGGATAGTAACATTCGTTACTTTGAGATCACTGATAAAGCTCCATATATTCACTACATTAACACCTATCAATCAACTACTCCACAACGAGGCATGGGCATGATGCCAAAGCGTGGCTGTGACATCAGCCGTTGTGAAATTGCTAGGTAAGAATTGTTAACTCCTATTTTTTAAAGTAAGTGGTTAACACTATATATATATATATATTAAGGCTCGTATGATTTGACTGACCTTTTAACCACTACGTAAAACATAAAACTATACCTGCTGTAACTCTGAATCTACTCTCATATCTTCATAAAATTTGGCAAGCTTTTGTAAATATTACAAGTCTGTTTTACCCAAAAAAATCAGATTTTCTTTAAATAAAAATTTTTACTAAAAATTTATCTGTGAATTTATGGAGTCAGTCTGACTCATAGTAGTCAGAGTGCAAGATGATTTTTATGCTAAGGATAAAAATCCTTTTCATTTTAAAGTTTTCATATTATATTTGCATGAACTCTAGAACATCCTAAATGAATATCAAACTTTTTCCTCAGTAAATGTTATATTTTATCTGTTATTTGTTTACCTTTAAATGTAGCTAAATCATCACTGTATAGTAAAATGAAATTTTAAAAATTATGAAATAAAATAAACAACACCTTTTCCTTCTTTTTTTGAAGATGTTATTTTGGCACATTGTTGGTTTTCTAATATATTCACAAATTCAACTATTTAAATTTTCAGAAATAGTTTATTTTAATTTTATAGTTTTATAGCCTGGCTCGTATATTGTACAATTTAGTCATCTCTGAAAAGCAACACATTACAGTGTGAACACATTAGCAGATTCTTGTATGGTAAAGTGGCACTGTGCACTCGGGGACATGTAATGAATGCTATTTTTACCTAAATCTGTTTTTGGAACAAAAATGCCTGAATCTTCATATTTTAGTGATTGAGGTATTATTTAGAACATTATATTACATAGATCACTAAAATAAAATGTCTAGAAAAAACAACCATAATTTAAATGCCGTTCTAACTAAGCTGTAAGTAGGTTAAAAAAATCATTAATACTCTGAACATCAACTTTGCTTACACATATGTGCATCAATAATTTCCTCTGTACTAACATCTACTGTTGTTAAATTCAGTAGATTGGTTGCAGACTTGAAATAGAAAATAAATTATTTCTATTGGTTATAAACATGTATGTCAAATAAGAACACAGGGATTAGAAAACTACCTTAAAAGTTATGGATAGATGGGCAGGGTTTCCGTCATGGGTTGGTAAACATTTTTTGATATCTCGGCAAACAGAGAAGTTAGGACATTGAAACTGTATGTTTGACCTTGTCATTATTTGTGGATTGTGTTTACATTACGTAGACAGTGTAGGTGCTATACTATTAATCTAACATAATATAATATTTTGGGACAACATGGGACCTATTGGGCCATCTCAGCTGTTCCATCCTCAAAACTAAATTAAAATGATTTAAAAAAAAAAAATTTTAAACCGAGCCCTTTTCATTCTTATACTTACCAAGCTTTTTCTTAACCTCACATAAATTTACTGCCTCTACAACACCTGAAGGCAACCCATTCCAAAGGCCAACCACCCTGTTAGAAAAATGAAACTGTCTTAGCTGAAGATGACTCCTCCTTTGCCAAAATTTATACTTGTGTCCCCTAGTCCTACTGTTCTCATTGTTAAATATAAAAAAAGATGATACATCAACACTATCAATTCCCTTTACAATCTTAAACACCTCAATCAAATCCTCCCTAACTCTTCTTTTTCCAAGGGAAAATAATTTGAGAGATTTCAGTCTCTCATCGTATGACAACCCCTCCATCCCAGGAACCATTCTAGTAACCCTTCTTTGAACCCTTTCCAACAATTCAATGTTCTTCCCTAAGGTAAGGAGCCAAAGACTGAACACAATATTCCAAATGTGGCCTAACCAGTGATCTGTACGATGAAATTATAACCTCTTTATACTTGTATTCAATATTTTTGTAGATACAACCTAAAATCCTATTTGCCATACCACTAGCAACTGCACACTGCTTAGTTGGCTTTAGAG